AGCAGTGTGATACGAAGAAAACTCAGTCGTCGTTGGAAGTGGATTGAACGTCGGGACAGGCTGAAAATAGAACTACTTTTCGCCGAGGACGAAGAGGAGTGGGATCGCGTCACCCAGGCTAAGGAGCCATCCACTTGGTCTGAGCATCCGGCGAATGCCATTGCCGATGTCAATGCGAAAATCGGACACTTCGATATGCATTCCAAAGAGCTTGCAGATAATATGTGGAAGATTGTTCTAGCTGAAAAGGCTTTGGCGGAAGAGGAAGCCAGTCAAAAGCAGCCAAAGCAATGAGACCGACTGGTCCACCTTGCCGCGCATGTCTCGTCATCATCCCAAAGAAGATTCCTTGGCTCTTATGGCAGACGGATGTTGGTCAAACTATATGGCCGTTATAGCCTGGGTCCATGTCTGGCCACATTAGAGCTACCTGCGTCCATGGCCATGCCATTGTTAATGTCGCCCGAGATCGGAATACAAAGGTCGGTTGCTCGAAATGTCCAAAAGTCATGGTACATTATCCATGCCAACCTGGCCAGGTATGTCCTTTCTTGATCACATCTGACCAATGGGCACCATGGACTGCTAGCATTGTCGAAGTCACTGGGCTCCGGCAAGCAGCTCAAACCAAGATAACAGCTCTCTCTGCGTCCTTCTTTGTCTACTGGTTGGGCATTATCTTTCCCTGTACCATAAAGTAAATCCATGTGGACTTTCAGATCTGTATAATACCAGCTCACTGGTTGCTCAGTATAATTACACCAATTCAAGAAGGTTATAATACATAATTTCATGAAGTAATGGCAGGTCATTAACATTTCTATGTATCAGCTCAAGTAGCCACTTTGAGCTTCTCAACAGCTGGCAAGGCATCATCGTCTTCCTCGTCATAATCACCCTTGGCCAAGCCTCTCTCCCACAATTGACGGCCTGTGAGCTTTTTCTCCTCTTTCGTAGTTTTCTTCTTCTTGTCTTCCGATTCCTTTTCCTCGCGTGCCCGTAGCTGCTCCTCCTCCTGCTCCTTTTTAAACTTGGCACTCCACTCCAAGAATGACTGGACGGTGACTGCTGTGCCTTGGAATTTCCGGTTCTCCTCCTCCTCTCTCTTCGCAGCGACTTCCTCCATCTCGGCTTGAATGGCATTTGCTCGCTCGGTCATAAGAAGCTCTGCGCTTTCCTTAAGTGCGCTGACCAGTGTAAATATCATCGGCATACCCAGATTCTCCTCGATGGCGAGCTGGAGAGACTCCATCAGTAGGTCCCGGTCTTCCTGGACATCTAGTCGGGGATGCTTCACAGCATTGGGTGGAGAGGAAATGCCGAGATTTGGGCCAACATCGGGGTAGTCTTCCGGGTATGAGACCTCCAGACATATCACAGGTTGTTCTCTTTCATCGCCGTCATATTCGAGAGCATCCAGGGTTATGGATACTCGGTAAGATGTTTCGGATATGTCTAGGTGCCCGGTCTCGCTGTGAGCAAGGATAACAAGTTTGAGCCGCCCAGAGGCCTTGTGTATTACTTACCGGTAATTTCTTCAGGGAAGATTGAATCGAGCACTTCACGCTCCTCAATCTGGTCTTCACGACCCATAGCTGTTGATCCGCCTGCGGATTGGAGGGGTAATGATTCGAGCGCCGGAGGTGCAGATTCTTCGGGGAACACCTAGTGGAGGGACGGGAGTGGTTCAAGATGGATGGATTGAAGACTTTCTAAGCAAGACTTTGAGATATTGCAATATTAACCAACTCAGGGAAAAAAAAGATCGGAGCGCAAACCAAGTCAACGCAACAAACGTCGGGGCCAAGCCGGGTCACGTGCATCTATCAATTCGCCGTCATCCTCGCTGGCTTCCAGCACTGTGACCTCGAGAACTACATGTGCTTTGTGCCATTCCCATTGCCTGCTGGCGTTTCTATAGCCAATGGTTGTTATCCTTCATATATAAGACCGAGAAGGAAAAATGTCCATAAAAACATCTAAAAAGAACATTGGAGTGTTGTCTCAACAACCCTGATTGTTGGCGTGAGGAATTATCACTATTGTGCAATCCCGAGTCTCATCGCTATAACTCCAGAGACCATCACCTCCTTTGTTTCTAGCGACTCTCACATGGTGGCCACTATGTCTCAAATTTGTTTCTTTCCCCTGCCGGGTGCGCGTATCAACTATGAGGAGCCTAAGCACACCGAATGGACTGTCATCGCCAAGCTCTCCCAGAAGAACCACACGTACCAGGAAAAGGACAATATTATAGCTGGTTCTGGATCCTCATATGCCCTTGCGACCTTCCATGTCTGCAGCGAGTTAGATGGCTGGGGGCCTACCTGCGCGTCTACCTGCAAATCCCCAACAAGGGAACTGAATTCTTCCCACCTAACGAGTGAGCTAAGCAGGCCGCCCCTGGCTACCACGTCGAGGTCGAAGCTATGAAGGCCTTCTACGAGCAAGGTTCGACTATTACGCCTGCTCTGCTTGCACTAAAAGAGGGTGTCCAGGATAAACAAGGGTTTTGTTCCGGGGGGCTACGTTATCCATGTTGTATTCCAACGTGTCCCTGGAGTTCGTCTCACTGAGGGTATTTTCTTTTTCTTTTCTGGATTTGGAGTCCGGCCTCCTAAATTCTTTCAAATTTTCAGCAAGCCTGAGCGAGACAAGATTCGCATGCAGTTTTATCAGGAGCATCGCAAGCTGGAAAATATGGGATGGATGCCCTCGAATCATCGGGTAAATAAATCGGTCTGGGACTCTAATTCCTCAAAATTGTGAGCCTTCTCTATGATGGTCCTGGGCCTGTGGCTGATTATTGAAATAGGTACTTTGTTGACTTTAGAGACGCTTATAAGACGGAATCTCGCGATGAAGTCGTTGAATATGGCAATGAGGAGTGGAACACAAACACCTGCGTATGTGTGAGACCTGGGATTCCTGGGGCCTCGCTATTTCCCCTGATAATCTTAGGGATCGAGGGGATCTTTCTATAAGCTCTAGCCCTGGAGTTCACTTCTCGGTGCGACGATGTAGCCATAGGTCGCTGCAATTCTAACGTCCATTTTATATGTAATCGATATAATAGCGATATTAGCCCCTACCTACAACATACATACATATGTAGGTAGCCATATGTTTCCACATATATAGCCCAAGCACCCCAATCGACCAGGAGGATTCATCAATAGTAGCCTCAATACCCAATTTGTAGAACATATTTTATCAAATAGCCTACCTTGCTCTCTGATTGAAAGTCCACAAACAAATTGTAACATCCGGCTAGCCAGACCATTTCATCGGAGGCACATGTACATATATGTAGCTCGGGGTTCTTCCGAGTTGAATAGTAGTGAATCACTCCAAGGCGGTAAGAAGCATAAATCGTCCAGACCAGACGACAATACTACCGTCCCACATGCAAACCCGTCAAACAGCTCTAAAATTTTGGGGGTTCACTTTTTTTACTTCTCCAGATACCCTGCGGGTCACAATTGTGAACCATTGTGCTTGGTATTCCAACATCCCGAAATTTCTATTGACTATCGCTGCATCCTGCCATGGGAAAGCCCAGACCGCACAAGAAAAAGTCATCCAAACCCCGCGAAAAGTCCGTCCTCGGCCCTGGTGGTTCGATCTCGAAAGCCAACATGGCTCAAAATCCCTCGACGTTACTCGACCAAGCCACAATCCTCCTACAAACTGGTCGAGCCGATGAAGCACTTGTGGTTGCACAGCAGGCTCTAGATTTGACCGCTGAAAACACTACTGCACAGCTCCCCGCTATTAACCTGCTTGGAGAAATCAATGTTGAACTAGGCGACATCGACACCGCTAGAAACTGCTTCCTTCAGGCTGTACAACTCGATCAGAATGGCTCGATACCGGAATCCCAGGGCGGAGGAGCTGAGAAGTTCCTATGGCTTGCACAATTGAGTGAGCAAGGCGGAAAGGACAGCGTCCTGTGGTTTGAGATGGGTGTGGCCTCCCTCAGACAGACTATTCAGTCTCTTGAGGGGAAAGCATCACCAGAGCAGATCGCCGATATTACACAGAAGAAGGCCAAGTTGTCTAACGCACTCTGCGCCGTCGCTGAAACCTACATGACCGATCTTTCGTGAGTTTCTCTATATTCTAAATTTTATGCGGGTCAACGCTAACATATTAGCTCAGATGGGAAGAAGATGCCGAAGCTCGGTGTGAAGCACTTATTACGGAAGCCCTCATTGTCACACCCGAAGCGCCAGAGGTACTACAGACTCTAGCCTCTATCCGAATCTCACAACTGCGCACCGAAGATGCGCGAGCCGCGCTCACTCGCAGTATGAGCTTCTGGAAGGACCTAGCCCCAGAAGATCTCAGAATTCCCGACTTTGCGGTGCGCATCAGTCTTGCGCGACTCCTGATGGAAGTGACTATGGAGTTCGAGGCTCTGGAAGTGCTCGAGCGCTTGATTCTAGAGGATGATCAAAGTGTAGAGGCCTGGTACCTCGGAGGCTGGTGTCTCTTCCTGCTGGCAGAAAAGCAACAGGCACCTAAGGATGCGACCGCTGATGAGCTTGCCGAGTCCCCGCGACATGTATCACTAGATGCTAGCCGTGAATGGCTCAAGCAAAGCTTGAAGCTCTACGATGTCCTCCAGTACGAGGATGACCGGCTCCGCGATCATGCCTTGGAGCTTGTACAGGAAATGAACAAAGAAATTGGAGAGGATGATGAGAGCGACGCTGAAGGAGAGGGAGAAGGCGAGGATTCGGATGTGGAGATCGAAGTTGACTCTGACGATGAGATGGCGGATTCATAGATACCAAAAGTGACGACCACATGATATGATGTACATGTTCATTGATACAATGTTTGTTTGATTCGATACCACTAAAAGTAGTTCCTTTCATTTTTTTTCCAACTATCTCTTTCATTGTCGGCCCCTGAACTACACAACCAAAACTTCTTTGATATCGCCACTGCAACTCATTCATCGGTTCCGGATTAAGTTGTCTCCGGCGAGGCAGATGCCCGAATTTTTGCCAAAGCAGATTTCAAGCGCGAGTGAAAGAGAGTTTGTCTCTGTGGCTGGCATCTCAAACTCCTGCAAAATGGATTTGGTACCAGCCCCAAAAGGAGAGGCTTCGCTAAAGACCACCGTGGTCGAAGTGGAGGCCGTGGATATGGAGGAACAGTACGACATGGAGGACGACGCGCCAGACCTCGCACTTGAAATCTCATCAGATTTTGAGTCGGACAGTGATGATTCTGAAGGATGGGATAACCTGTCTCACTGCGATGAAGCGATTCAGTTCCTACGCGATGACCAGATCCGCGACGGCCTCGGTATGTAACTATATCCACCCTCACTCTTACCCGGACATCCCCGCTACCGGAGATCAGAACAAACATTGGCTGATGCGCTCGCTTTTCTATCGCAGTTCCCGGTGCCTGTACTCTCGAAGAGGCAACTGCATATCGACAGCGTCTGCATGAGATTGGTAAGGCGGCTTTCGTGGAAGAGACCATCCTCCGCGAAACCGTCACGGCCAAAAAGCTATGCACGGCGTTCGGAATCGCCCCCCCGGCATTCCTCGACGGCGCGCCAGATGAGTCTTATCATTCTCTTCTGGCGGTCGCGATCTCGCGCGAGTTCGCTCGGAGGCCCAAGCTTCCCCAGTACAACACCATCGATGATGCTGTTCGGCTTCTTCGCGAGTCTCGGAACATCATCGTTCTAACTGGTGCAGGCGTATGTTCATATTGGAGTGTTCAGAACCTCCCTGATCCATAAGTGCTAATGGGTATTTTATCAGATCTCGACAAGTCTGGGCATTCCCGATTTCCGTTCTAAAGATACCGGGCTCTATTCAAAACTGGCGCACCTGGGCCTGAGCGATCCACAAGAAGTCTTCGATATCCATGTCTTCAGGGAGGACCCGAACATTTTCTTTTCTATTGCTAAGGATATTCTCCCGACTGAAAAGAAATGGTCGCCCACCCATGCATTCATTCGGCTTCTACAAGACAAGGGGAAGCTTTTGACCAACTACACGCAGAACATCGATAACATTGAAGCAAATGCTGGTGTACTCCCGGAAAAAATTGTACAGTGCCATGGGTCCTTTGCGACGGCCACCTGCGTGAAATGTGGGTTCAATGTCCCTGGCGATGCGATCTTCGATGAAATCAGAGCGGGGAACGTCCCCCACTGCAACGCGTGCGAGGAGAGAATCGCAGAAGAAGAATTAAAGCCGCAAGGTCTTAAACGCAAGCGAAGTTCCAATGGTCAACAGAAAGACCGCAAGGTCTCCGACGAGAGTTCGGATGAGGACGACTATGAAATCCCAACTCCTGGAGTGATGAAGGTCAGTGACCATTCTGTTCTTGCTTGCTTTGTCCCATACTTACAAACAGTATAGCCTGATATCACATTCTTTGGCGAGGATCTGCCCGATGAGTTTGGCCAACGTCTAGTTCACCAAGATCGGGAATTAGCAGACCTAGTCATCGTGATTGGAACCTCATTGAAGGTAGCCCCCGTGGCTGAAGTGCCGGGAATCCTACCTCGCAACGTCCCGCAGATCTACATATCGCGCACTGTAAGTCACCTAAAAACATTGACATTGTATCGTACTGACTGTGCCTTGTAGCCGGTGTCACATACCGAGTTCGATATCGATCTCTTGGGTGACTGTGATGTGGTGGTATCAGAACTTTCTCGTCGGGCCGGTTGGGATCTACAACATCATATGATACCAGCCGATGAGAAGGTGGATGTTTCCTTGGTGGAGGGATATGAATCACGACATGTTTTCAAGGTAGTCGGTGCATAGGGGCGGAGTTCTGGGCATGTCTTGCTTCTGTCTTAAGGGCGTTTCTTTGGGTTTCTTTTCATAGCTGGATGTGGTGATATTTCTTAGGTAGTCTTGGTCTTGTTATTTCTTGTGCGATCATGTCAGACCTGGGTAGATTATGGGTTTGTCCATCACCTGTAGTTCAATCCATTGTTCATTCTTCGAATCTTCTTGACGCTGTAAAATTTTATTGTCCAACTATACAACCCTTTGTAATTAAATCATGAAGGCTTTTTAGTCTAGTTTCTAGGTTTTTCCTTTTGTTCAATGTGGTATTTAGAAATAGAATTGATTTTTGTTGGAGATATAAATCCAGACCGAGCTGGCCATACTTTGTTCTCGTGGAGTATATTTCTGAAGACCCGAGAAAAAAAAACTCAACCCGCGACACCCCGCCTTGAAAGCAGCAACGAATTACGTGAACTCCCACGGAAGAGAAATCTTTGAGGAAGAACCGGGAATATATTCGTCACGCTAGCCATGGATTATCTGGTTCGGTTCGCCCAGCTCCATGAGACCTTCCGACGGCCGGAACTCCAAGCCTGTGCCACGCTCGCGGGGGTTGACATCGGAATCATCACCTACAATGAATATGTATGATACCCTTTCTATCAATACTGGAAGCATCCAAATGGACCAACCAATGACAATTGATTCACAATGACAATCCTCTATCTATCCTTGCATGACCATCCTCAATTTGCAGAAACTTGACTGACATAACCAGTCACCATACTGCGTCGTAAGACTACCAGACGAAGCTGCGGCGCGGGCAGTTGCCAAGCGCAGTATCCTGGTCAAGGATATCTTCGAACTATGGGGCGAAGGCACCAATTATGAAGAGCTACATGCAGATGTCCGTCGACGAACCCAGCATCGCTGGAACGACTACATTGCTGTCCCGTGGAAATTCACGATTGACTACTTCGCAGGAACGCGCAGCCCAGCTCAGAAGGGAGAGATCATTCGATCCTTCTCATATATGGGGTTCAAAGGCCCGATCCGGCTAACAAACCCCGATGAGGAGTTTTTCGTGATGGAAGAGTACATTGACGACGTCGAAGTAGCTAGACTGGGCGTGTCGCGAGCAGAAGATCCGCGGAAGATTTACCTCAGTCGCAAGATTGCCGATAGCTGTCGCGAAAACGTGCTTAAATACGACCTCAAAAAGCGTCGTTATATTAGCACGACTTCCATGGATGCAGAGTTGAGTCTCATTACGGCGAACATGGCTCTTGCGGCACCTGGGAAATTGTTCTTCGATCCGTTTGTCGGAACTGGAAGTTTCATAGTTGCTGCTTCGCATTTCGGGGCTCTGACTCTGGGCGCAGACATTGATGGCCGCAGTTTCCGTGGCAAAGAGAGCGGAAAATTGGGTATATACGAGAATTTCGACCAGTATGGGCTCAAGAGCAAATTCGTTGATACCTTCACTTCCGACCTTACCAACACGCCACTGCGGAGAACCGCCGTCCTTGATGGCATTGTCTGCGATCCGCCATACGGTGTGCGTGAAGGGCTTCGTGTTCTGGGAAATCGCAGGGGGAAACCTGCGGTTAACGTGATCATTGATGGCGTTCCTGCTTATCTGTATGTTCTTTTTTGCTTGCATCGCCACCCGCCGACTTACAATACTGACTTTGACCTATAGTCGACCTGGTTTCATTCCTCCCAAAAAGCCTTATGGGTTCGAGGCTCTGCAGAACGACGTTCTCAACTTCGCAGTTCGCTCGTTGGTTCCCAATGGCCGTTTGTCAATGTGGATGCCCACAACAAATGACGAGAAAACCGAGTTCCCTGTTCCCATGCATCAGAACCTTGAGATCGTCAGTATCTCTGTTCAGTATTTCAACACTTGTAAGTGACAGGCCTTTTGATACAATAATGATATTGAAAGGGATTGGCTGATTTTGTGTCTTACAGGGTCTCGCCGACTCATAACCTACCGTCGTCTACCCGAGGGAGAACTGTCGGATACCACACAGGCCCGGAAAAAGATAGATGACCAGGGTACTAGTGCGGATGATCTCAATGCATTCCGACGAATCGTACGTATTATTTAGAAGTTGATGGCTCAGTACCTGGCTAACTTCTTGACTCAGCATATGCTCAGAGGCCACGGCACCAGGGTCGAGAAGGACCAAAAAAAGAAAGAATAAGAAATCCGACATAGCAAATCAGATAGGAAGCTATCTAGCCTACCCTTCAGTTCGGAGGTTGCAAAACTGCGCAATAGAAACACCTATATACAGCGAATAACCCGAAGATGGGACCAATGATCAGATGCAAGAACAGAAGCGAATACCAGATAGAGCGTACTTCACAACTTCCCTCGCTGGCTTGCTTCTGAAACCAAGTCTCCAGCCAAGTCCACGCCCTCGTCCCTCTGAATTCGTTTGACTTCCTCAGCCAGCTCAATTCTCAACTCACGAGCCAAGACTTCAGCCTCATCATCGTCAAGCTCCTCTCTTTGCCCGCGGCCGAACATAGCAAAGCTTGTTCTCTGATTGGCCCCTTGAGCAGGGCGCGGGATGATGTGGAAATGGACATGTGGTACTACCTGCGCTGCTCTTTCGCCTGTCGCCTAGTTAGATGGTTGTTGTTTTTCCTTCTTCCATAGACATGTGATGTGATAACAAGATGGGTTATAGATGTTGATGCCGTTTTGGTTTAGTGATAAATGAAATGAGATATCGGTCAGGGGTGTTCAAGCTCCTTGAATGCCAATATTGGCTACATAACATACACAACAGCATACAAGGTAGAAATACTCCGTATTAAAATCCAATAAAGACCAAGGGTTTCCGAAAATGGAGAAAAGCAAGGGCAAGACATACCATTGTTCTGCACAACATTCCAATGTCTATCGGGATCATCGCCAAACACAGTCTTGGTTACAACCCTGGAGAGGATAGGCAGCCATTTCCCCATCTATGTGTCAAGTTAGTGACAAGGGGCAGCCAAAGAAACACTTTTCAAATAGGTATAGATCAACTGAAGGGACATAAGTACATACCTCCTGTCCTGCTTGAACACCCATGTCTCCAAGCAACTTATAATGATTTCTTGGCGCTACAAGGACATGGCCGCGGGTAAGCGGCATAATGTCCAAGAAGGCGAGAACATGCTCGGTGGAGAGGATGATATGGGACAATGGACCTGAATCCGGGGCAGTAGAGGCTGGATTGGACTCTGGGTCATTGAAGGGGGTTGGGGGATATGATGAGGCGATGTTGCAGAACGGGCATGGCGGTGTAGTGGAATCCATGATGAGATAGAATGATGTATTTATCAGTCCGAGTGTGGGTTTGCAAGCCTGCTTCAGTATCAGCCTCCAAGGCGGATGTGACTAGTAAACAAAATGGAGGTTGCAAAGTGATTCAGCGGCTCACAGGGCCCCGGGGGACATAACCTTGGAAGGACCTCGGGACCAACCTCGGCTAAGCATGTCCAGGTGAGCTTAATTCGACGCAATCTACTACGTACAGCCAATCCCAGATATACCAAAAAAAAGAGAATAAAAAAGGAAATGGTTTCACTAAGCACGCCATACACACGGATCCAGTGTTAGAAATCCAACTATTTTGAACAAAACAAAAGCGGCCCAACTTGTCACTGATTACCTCCTCGGCCGTCAGTCCGATATCAATCTTGCATGCCTGGAAGACTCAGCTATAGTAACCAATTGAATCTTCCAGCTGATGAATTGACAAACACCCGAGAAACGAAAAAAGACCATAGCCACCTTGGCTCCACCAAAGATGTCCAATCCGCAATGCCACGCAAACATGCAAGCCTTCGGAACTTGCATGACAAACAAAAAAAGGTGTTCCAAAGGAGATAACACTGCACCGTCCAACCTATGACAGAGGTGAACCAGGGTGAGATAAGGTAAGATTGCGATTTGAAGAGAAAAATAGATCCCGACTCCTGCAACACGGTTGACGAGAATGTAAAAGATACCAAGGCAGGCGGGAGACAATACTCATGCACGGAAAACAAGCAAGCCGAGTTTGAAGATGTAGGGGTAAAAGAAGAAAACAATAGCACACAGGGCCAAGCGCCGAACACCCCATCACAGAAGACAAATGCGGAAAGCGCAGAAATTCAATCAAGTCGTCGTAAGAATATGCAAAAGGTAGTGAATACCAGCACAATGAAATGCCAACATATGTAGGAATTCGATTTCCCTGCTCAAGTCGTCGCAAGGGCCTTAGGGAGTCATGAAAGGCATCGACGTTGGCGAGACAGGAGTAGCATGACATCGTAAATGGTACAATTACTGTTCATCCTTGGCGTAACTGCTCTGCTCGGAGCCGTCGACGTACAGGTGGTGATACTTCTTGGCCCATTGGCGTGTCAAGATAGAAGCTGGAAGACTGGTTAGCATGTCACGTCGCAGAAGGGAACTATCAATGTGGCTTACCCTTCAGGAACTTCTTGCTGGCGTATTTCTTGAAGAAGGCTTCATGGGAGACAGGGCGGTGAAGATAATCAACCATCAACTGGAAGACGGGATCGATCTCCTCTTCGGTGTATCCAGAGTAGTGAGCGAGAGTGGCATCCTATGATAAGTCAGCTGTGATGTGTGGAACGTGTGGAGTGCAATATAACGTACCCAAGGTCCACGCTCGAGGATGAGACGTGCAAGGTACATTGCTGCGGCAGAGATGTGACTCTGGGGGAAGCCCATAAAGCGATGATCGAGGAGACTGATCTCCATCAAGTACTTGCCCAGAGTGCGGGTTTGGATATCATAGTTATCGGCCTTGGAGATGCGTCGCAGGAAGTTCATGGGGTTGGGGAAGCTCATGTTGTATTCGAGGGTTGCGAGGACGTGACGTTCAGCATCGAGGATCTCCTTATCCGAGAAGGTCTCATCGGCGACATGGCTGAAGTTGGCGACGTGAGGGGAGAGCACCTCCTCATACTTAGAGGCAATGAACATGGCGGTAACACCAACGAGCTGAAGACGATCAAGGGCAACAACTTCAGCGGATAGGAAGCGGTCGATGATGTTGACAGCAAGAAACAAGGTCTCGGGGAGGAGACGGAAACGGGTGTGCACTTCGATAAGCCAGTCCACAAGGATCCCACGCATCTTCCATTCAAGGTCGGGCTGATGGTCGATGTAATCAGGGTTGGGCAGGGTCATGATCTCAAGGTCCTTGAGATACTCGAAGATTTCAACGACGTATTCGGCGGCCATTAATGGGTCATCCAAGTCCTCAGTGTCCAGATCCTGCACAGCGTCATTTAGAGCATCCTTCACGCTAATCTCTGCCACCTTCACTGCTGGTTCTTCCACGATCTTCTCGATATTTCGTGTCTTTCGCTCAAGCTCGGGCTTCTTGCGGGGAGGTTCGTCCACTTGGAGGGCTGTATCCTTAAGCGACGGACGCTTGTGGGCGTTGGCAGCAGGCTTTTTGTTCGAGTCGCGGGGTTGAAGGGCAGGTCGTGTTGCAGTTCGTGAGGAGTTGGTGCGGCTGAGCTTCTGGATACCTCCAGTCTGGACAGTTGCCTTTGAGGTCAAACCAGCCTTGCCGGCAACCGGTTTCTTCCCACCTTTCATCTCAGCACCATCCGTCTTGTTGACATTGCTGACATCACCGAGGGCAGCACGGGGGCGTTGGGATCCATTACCCGTGGTAGTCGATGTGGTTCGCTTGGTCTGCAGGGTCTTCTTGGCTCCAGCGGCAGAGACATCGGTGCTGAGGGCGGCTGTCTTGGCCCGCGTCAGACGCGCTGACGGACCGTTCTCATCGTTCTCATTCATCGTGCCTCTGGTACGAAGACTGCGGGCCTGCAGTGGAGTCAGTGATCAGTCTAGTGAGGTCGTAGCATACACCTAGATCTCGATGCTATGGATCAGATATCCCGGGACCAGGATATCAAACGCGTGTTTTGGCAAGGTTAAAGATTGCTCACCTGAGGCATCGTGAAGAAAATAAAAGGAAACCGACGCGTAGGAAGGGAAAAAAGGGGACAGGGATATAATGATTCTTGTCCTGCTCAGGAAATCAGGTCAGCATTCCATTTGATATTACCTCGGTGGGGACCTCATACCAGAGGGTTAAAAGGACAAGGTGCACGTACCACGCGTGAAAATGCAAATGTTTGAGGAAGCTACAATGCCAGTAGGCAGAGGTAGCTTTCAGACAGGTGGAGATGATATGAGTCGATGATTACGCCTCAAAGATGACTATGTTGATGTGTATCAAGACCGCGCCGAACCCTGGCTCCGAAGGTCAAATGGCGCGCGAATCGGGAAAAAAGATGTCGAATGATACAGAAATGATCCGGGGACACTGTACAACAGGAATCCGCACGCGATAATTTGTGAATTTGGGAGTGGGGGGAAGATGGAAGGGTAGCTCTAACTGGAATGATGAGGGAAAAGGAAGAGAGCTTGAGGGCAAAAGGCGATGTTTGGCCCTAGTACTGTGCCTAGCGTGGAAAACAATCCGCCCCACTCAGCCAGTCGCGTGGATCACCGGATTGGCCGTCGAGCCCTTTCTTGTGTAAAATTTCTAGAATGGAGAATTAAGCTGAGCAATGAAGAACGGAATAGAAACGAGAAAAAGATGTGCTGAGATAGGTTACAAAAGTAGATCCAGCAATGAAGGGAGATACGAGTGAGTATGGCAATGGGTAAATAGACTGGTTGTCAGAGCAACAACGGCGTTTCGGTTTCGTATAGTATCGAATCTCCTGTAACAAAGAGATCACGTGCATCAACTTCGATATAAGGCGGTCAAATTGGATCCATGGATGGATTCCCGTGACTAGACATCTGCCACATTTGATGGGCTGTGGCGGTGGAAGAGGCGGTGCAAGAGGAAAGTCACGTGGCAAGTGAACTTTTTGTTTCTGCGGAGAGTCAGGTGCATATCTACAAAGCAGAGGAGAGGAGCTGCTGAGTCTTTGTTGGTCTGCTCCATTGTCGTTTTGGCTTTCATCGATTGCACTTTTATTTAATTGATTCCTCTAAACCCCGTCTTCCTCCTCCATCCCTCATCCTTTGGCAGCAATGCTTCAACCCCGAATTGTCCTACGGGGCATTCGGCTGCCTTTTAGGTGTCTACCCTCTCTGCCTTCGCCAGCTCGTGGCTATTCGACAATCGTGAATGAAATTGAGAAGAACAAGCCCAAGCCTATCGAAACACCATTGAACTCTTTTATTGACCCGAACGTCTCGTTTGCTCCTCCTCCCGGCCGCGATTCGTCTGGCATTCAGCTGCGCACCTACACTCCGCGCACACCCGGTGTGAGACATCTGCGGCGCCCTGTGAATGATCATCTATGGAAAGGCCGCCCAGTTCACAAATTAACGTTCCCTAAGCGCGGCCACGCCAAGGGTGGTCGAAACAACTCTGGCCGAGTCACTGTCCGCCATCATGGAGGTGGTGCCAAGCGTCGAATTCGGACAATTGATTTTCTGCGCATGGCTCCAGGGCCGCACACAGTGGAGCGTATCGAGTATGATCCCGGACGCACTGCACACATTGCTCTGACTGCTAGTAAGGAGACCGGCAAGTTGAGCTACATTCTAGCAGCGGATGGAATGCGTGCCGGCGACGTGGTCCAGAGTTATATGTCCGGAATTCCTGAAGATTTGTGGAAGAGCATGGGCAGCACTGTCGATCCCGGTGTGCTCGCCGCCAGAACCGCCTGGAGAGGAAACTGTCTGCCGTTGCACATGGTTCCGGTGGGAACATTGATCTTCAACTTGGGATTGCGACCCGGGAAGGGTGGCCAACTGTGTCGGAGTGCTGGAACGTATGCTACAGTTGTGGCTAAGGGTAGTGATTCGCGCCAGCAAACGATTCAAGACGAGCAGCCTGAGGCCGAAAAGAAGCCCATGTCGCAGCGTGACCAGCAGAAGCTTGAGCGTCTGGCCCAGCACATTACTGTCCGTCTCTCAAGTGGTGAGACTCGGCTCATTCACAAGGACTGCTGCGCTACCGTTGGTATTGCCAGCAACCCGAACTACCAATACGCCCAGCTCGGAAAGGCTGGTCGCTCACGCTGGCTCAATATTCGTCCGACGGTGCGTGGTCTGGCCATGAACGCTATGGACCATCCTCACGGTGGTGGACGAGGCAAGTCTAAGGGTAACGTCGACCCGAAGAGTCCTTGGGGTATTCCGGTATGTATATCCTTTGTTTGCACTGTCTGAACTTCCTTGGGACTGACTCTTAATTTTCACCCCAGACCAAATCCGGCTACAAGACCCGGCCGAAGTGGAAGATCAACAAGGCTGTTGTTCATGCCAGACCTCGCAACCAAGGAAAGCGCCGTCGTGGATACAACTAGAGATGACGCTGCTTTTCCGGGCCATTTCACTTTGCTTCGTCTCTTGAACCATTTGTACCTCCTCACCCTATACCTCATCCCTACCGCGCAGAGGATGACTGTACGATATCTTTTCTTTTTTTTTGACACATTGAATGTCTCATAGTTTCTTCTACCATGCGCTATTTCTTGGGGATTATTGTTTTGCGCATCTGCCGTCTGACTGAAACTCGGGCAATGGGCACTGTATAGTATGATGGCTTGAGGCCATATACATTCAAGGCGAAAGAAAATAGATCTATAAACCATTTCATCTTAGTATATATACATAAATGTTGCATATAATGTACTCCGTCTTTACTCTGTTTAGCCGTCGATCCACCTGGGCAGATGCGTGCCAAGCCTCCAGGCAGTATCGCTGGTGCGTGGCCCTCTGCTGATCGCACCTGTCAACGCTCTTGGAGATTAGAATGGAAATTCAAGACTTTCCCATGGTTCCAATTAGAATCCGATCGAAAGGAACAAAATAGGGGTTCTTTGATTTATAGTTCTTCATAAAGACAGGTTGGGTCGGGAGGAACGCTCAGCCTCTCCTGATACGAACTTCCGTCATCATTCATAGGAACTTCCTTTTCACATCCCCACCTCGGCACATCTGGCCAACAGTTGAATATTCCTAGTTTGTTGACGCCTGAGGTCTATCCTATTCGCGCCATTCTGCCTAAACAATCGCGCCCGGACAATCCAGGGTTGGCCAAGATCAATTCATCCATTTGAATTACTCATCTACTACATCACCTGGGGAGATCATCAGTCTGCAATCAAACCCGCCATGGCGGCACTTCCGCCGTCCAATTTTGGGCCCGAATCGTCGCAACACCCCACAGAATTCGGCTCGTCTCAAATGGAATTCATGTCCAGTGAAAGCGGCGCCGCTGCTGAAAGTACTAGCACTGGAGAAAGCAACTTTGTTCCCCGCCCCAAGCGCATCGCATGTGTCGTCTGTCGGAGGAGGAAACTAAGGTGTGATGGGAGACGACCGAGCTGTGGGACTTGCTCACGTCTGGGACATGAATGTTCTTACGATGAAGTGCGCAAGAAGAGTGGTCCCAAACGGGGATATGTCAAGCAGCTTGAAGCGCGATTAGGTATGAACTCGTTGACAGCAAAGGACGCACATGCTGTATGGGCAGTGAGCTATATCGCTAACAATCGTGACTATATCAGCTCAAGTAGAGACTCTTCTCAAAGGCCAGGATCCGGAACCCACTCAACGAAACTCCCCACCTCAACCATTGGAGAATGCATTTACAGCACCCATCACCGATGAACCTATACTGGATTTGCCTGACCTCTCGGACCTAGGAGCGCTGGGAGGTATTGGAGGTCACATGGATGGCTCGTTTCCAGCTTCCACTGCCCCCGGTGCAGGCCAGCCAAGTCAAATGTTATATCCTCCGCAGCCAACCACCCAGGGTGGCGGCAACTCTCCATGGGACTTGATCAGTCTAGGGCTTGAGGAGCCCCTTCCTTCACAGGACGTGATCGATGAACTGTACGTGTTCTATGCGGCTTTCTACTTGAACTGGTCTCTAATACAATGGTGCTGTCTAGGGATGCTTTATTCTTCGAGAAAATCTACCCAATGATGCCCATCATCCACCGCCCCCGTTACTATGCAGCCCTGAATCTCGCCCCTAATATGCGACCACCGATCTGCCTGCGATACATTATGTGGTGCCATGCCGCGTCTGTCAGTGACAAATACTTCTTTCTACATAATCATTTCTACCAGCGGGCACGCAAGTATGCCGAGATGGATGAAATGAAAGGATTCGGAGAGAACATCGTCAGTTTAGCACATTGCCAGACATGGATATTCATCGGCACATATGAATTCCGAATGATCTTCTTCCCTCGAGCCTGGCTGAGCGTCGGTAAAGCTGCCAGACTAGCACTGATGCTGGGATTGAACCGGCTTGATGGTGTTGGTCTCGACGTCAAACAATCCATTTTACCCCCGAAAGATTGGACAGAACGTGAAGAACGCAGGAGAGTTTTCTGGGGCGCATTTGCCACAGATAGATATTCGAGCGTTGGAACCGGTTGGCCCATTCTTATTGATGAGAACGATGTCAGTATCTTTTTCGTGAACGCTCTCATAGCGTAGAGGGTAATAGGCTGACAACAATCAGATCATGACCAACCTCCCCGCATCCGAAGAATCTTTTATTAAGAGCAAGCCACAACGAACACTTCCCCTAAACGATATCATCACTGGAGATGGTGTGTCTACACTAGCCCCTTTCGCATGCGTGGTCGTTTTGGCAAGTCTTTTCGGTCGCAACCTCATACACATCCATCGGCCTCAGCCCCAAGACAACGATCATGACCTCAATGGGGAGTTTTGGAAGCGCCACAGAAGCCATGATAATATTCTTCTGCACATTTCACTCTCCTTGCCTGATCATCTGCGACTTCCCAGTGGTATGTCGGATGTGAACGTGATTTTCGCCAACATGAGCATCCATACTTCAACCATATGTCTTCACCAAGCGGCAATATTCAAGGCCGAAAAGAACAAGATGCCGAATCAGATTACGACCGAGAGCAAGCGCAGATGCCTTGTCGCCGCGAACCAGATTTCGAGTACCATGAAGATGATCAGCCATGTTGATTTGACGAGCGTGAGTTTTTATTGAGTTTTCTTGCCCAAATCAGTTTCACTAACGCCTTGCAGCTAAATCCTTTCATGTCATTTTGTCTCTATATTGCTGCTCGCGTCTTTGTGCAGTATCTTAAATCCCGACCAGAGGATTCGAGTGTCCATTCATCGTTGCAATTTCTCGTCTCCGCTCTAAACGCCATGAAGAACAAAAACCCCCTGACCGAGTCCTTTCTTGTTCAATTGGATGTTGATCTTGATGGAACTGGCATTCGCGCTTTGGACGATAGACAGAAAAGCATGTCTGCTACACATTCGATTATAGTAGGTTTCCCCTGACTTGTTCCCCAATGGCCAATCGAAGCTAATTTTATTTTCTCTAGCAAACATACTGCCACGATAAAGTCGACTGTAATCCTTTGTACAACATCCGCCAAACACAAGGGATGGCGAAGGAGCTGTCTCCACAATACAGTGCCAATCGCGTTGGCAATCAACAGCCTATGCCTGCCGGTTTGACGACATCCCTCCCTAGCCGGAACAGGGACCCCACGACACAGCCCACCACAGGACCAGTCTATAATGGCGACGACACGCATCGCTTTTTCGGGACTTCCACTCAGGCAACAGGTCCAAAAATGGACCAAGGCGGACCACCAGGGGCCATCATCGATATGGACATGGATTTTCCGCTTGATTTCGGCAACCTCAGCGACAGGAACAATCCACCGTCAGACCATCCAACCCCCTCAACGTTGAATTCATCCTCCAACACATCCTATTCAATCAACGGCGCTGACGAACCACCACCCGGAAACAAGAACCAAAAGACAAACTCCGTATATCCGAGTCAGGGTTCGGCACCGTCCTTTGATAAGGTCAATTCAAACATCATGCCACAAGGGAACACAAACCCGCAAGTCACTGATTTGGGTTCTATGGCTGGGCGGTTTTATCCAAGCAACTCTGATAGCCCGTCAGTTGCCGCAGGAGCGTCGGGAATCTTTTCCATACCCTCTGCATGGGACCTTCCAACTCCAAATCAGGAAACGGGTAATGGAGACTTTGGCAGTCTAAACATAGAGACTTTCAGTGAATCTCAATGGGCTCAGATGTTGAATGCTCAAATCCCCGGTGAAAATGGGACCAACGCTGGCTGGGAGAATTGGCGGCCATCGTGAGCACATCGGCGGACTATACTTTCCTATGAAAGGATCTTGGTTGAATAGTCTCCGATGTCGAAAAACTCAGCAAACTTAATATTGTTGCAACAGATGAAGGCTTTTCATGCTGCCCCTCAACGCACAACGTTGGGGCTTTGTGTTCCCTGAGCCTGCTCAGAATCCAAGACCCCGGGCTCTCACTAATCAGGATGACCCATCGATGCCTTTGTCAATCTTGGTTGGGGATCTCACATGCGACTCGAAGCAGGGCGTCATCCTATTAGATACTTCTCTTTTGCTTCCCAAGGTCTGTTTTCCCTCCCCCGCCCCAGGCTGAGATTGATATACGGGAGGCATCTGTCTCCTAGTCCCACAAATATTGGGGTCAGCTATTACAATATCTTGGACTGAGTATCTTCTTTTCCTGAGGTTGATTTACCAACCACTGAACTGCAAAGGAATTTGCAATTCTTCTCTTGCCACAATGTTCGAGTAAAATGGTAGTCTGATAAGCTTCCATTGACCTCTGCTTTTGAATGATTTGACGACGAACGAATGAACGGTCTTTTTGGGGCGGAACTCTTCACTCTTGGATAGGTTACACGGTTGAAATCGGAATATTTGGGTCCTGTTAATTGATGTTAATAACCAATCTCTACAATATTACATTGAAATCCTAAGAAATTATTGATCTTACTTGGCCACTCCTTCGGTCTTTTTCAATACGTCCATTCATGATAGTTTTTCATAAATCTAGATCATAGAGGTTAGGGCAAAAATAAAAGCTTGCTGAAGAATAGGAAGGAAAATAGAATGCTCCAGATTAGAGGCCACCACCAGCAGCACCAACAATCTTCAAGCCTCCAGTGTTGGAGCTACCAGGTCCATCAGTGGTAGTCGAGTAAGCCAGCCAATAGCGAGAGGGATGCCACGCAACAGCAGACACCCCAGCATTGACGCCAGCAGTAGGAATTGTGTAAATGCTATCGCCAGACTCAGCATGGAAGATCTCCAGTCCATTCCCACCACATCCAAGCTCGTCACATGCACCAACAATGTACCGGCCATCGAAGCTCCAGCTCACGCCACGAATAGCGCCACCATTTTCGCTGGACAAAGTGCGACGACAGATCCAGTCGGTTGTGTCCCAGAGGGAGATGAGAGCGTCGCTTCCGCCAACTGCGAGGTATCGGCCTGTCGGGGCGAGCGCAATTGAAAGGCAGGCCGAGGTGTGCGCATTGAGAGTGTGCATAATATCGAAGGAAGGGTAGGACATGATTTTGACCTTGCCTTCGCCAGTAGTCACGAATACATGCTGCTCCGGACGTTCGGGTGTCGGCATGCACCAGGAGAAGGTTGTCGCATTTGTTTGGACGGTCTGAGGGTGAGGGTCGAGAGCTGTGTATGTGGTTGCGCCGGGTGTAGAGGAGGGGAGGTTGAGGGCGTTCACGCCATCAGGGTGGGTGGTAGGAGAGGAGGGGAATTGAACAGAGACGGGGATCAAGGTGTCGTCCTGTTCACATATCGTATGTTAGTGACTCTGTCACGAGAGATATCAAGTCTGCGGAGTCGCAGCGCTGCATGGTTACCTTCTTGCCGACGATCATTGTGCTGCCGTCAGCGGACCATGAGAGTGTAAATGCTTCCCCACCGACATCGAGACGGCTCACACATGTCTTGGAGCGCACATCCCAGAAGCGCACTGTACCATCGGCCGAGCAACTGGCTAGCTCCGCATCGCGGACTGGGTTGAAAAGAGCCTTCTCGATACCAGCGGTGTGGCCACGCAATTCGGTAGAGTATCGTACATGAGGACGCTCGGGGTTCCAGATTCGTAGAGTGCGATCTGCTGAGCCAGTGGCAATCAGCTGGCCCGTGGGGTTCCAAGCAAGAGTGCGGATCCTGTGGTGCCAGACGGTTGGTCAGTAAATGAACGACAGCCCCTTGCGTAAGACGCCAGACTTACGTGTGAGAGCCTGGTCCCTTGGAAACAGGATCTAAGTAACTTTGGGTCTTCACGCTCCCAAACACGAATGCAAAGTGATCCTTGTGTAGGAGCTCGCGACGCGGAGCGGGTGCCATCTCTTTGTCTTCCTCCTCTAGGAATTGGCGCAAGACTGGATGTCTACCTGCATTCAAACTGGAGGCAGATCAATAGCAGAAGTAGAAGCGATATGACCTAGCAGCTCAGGCTGGATGCGATTCGAAGAACGATGGACAGACGGAGAGTACTCGATACCGCCTTTGGGACACCCGATACTGCCGGGGAATCGTTATCGGATGTTACCGCCATCATGATGTTCGCCTTAGGCACCCTACGTTTTCTGCCGATAATATTTTTGCGTCCAACTTGCGTTTCAATCGCCACAATATTGAAAGAAATTGGGATAAAAAGAAGCGACAAGTGAAGAGCCAGCAAATTTTGTAGTTGCTGGGTCTCACGGTTTGGCACCTATAGGGGAGACATGCGTTTTATGCATTACATGTCAAGGAACCACCAGGAACTATGTATGTATTCCAGTAGAAGCGAATTTTGCTCTATAGATACTTGGTCACATATTGAAAGCCCTTGGAAAAAAATTTTAACCTAGAAGAATAAAAGTGAGCTCCATGTTCAGATACCTCTCACAATTGACATAAAAGCAAGGCTACATTGAGCTATTTACAGGTTATAATTTTGAGGCTGTCAATATCTATTGATACATACTGTCTTGAATTCATACATGCCTTCGGACTCAATACATCTAGTTTCTCTACAATATTCCTATATTGTTACCTACGTCGTGAAAATACCCCAAATTCCAATTCAACTCTAGAATGTGGAAGGTTTGATAGCTGCAGCCTTATGGGTCCGATAAGCCCGAGCTTAATTGAACCTCACCCTTGGGCTGAAAAATTGACCCTTCAGAACTCAAGAGCTTCAATTGTCAACATTAACCATCACTTCGAAGGTTATCAGAGACAATATGTTTGAAGAAGTGGACGATGCATCGCGTCGCGAAAAGTGTTTCACTACCATTGCTCAGCTGCCAGCATTCATCGACCCAAAGCAGATCCCAGGCAAGAGATCGCCCTTCTCAACGATTCAAAATCATGCATTTGTACACTCAGTAGGTGGCGTGTGGCCTGCTTTGAGAAGTGAATGATCATTTGACTGATCATTGGGTATAGGTCGAGGTTATCTTGCCCAAGGAGTTTCACTCACAGATCAAGCCGTCGCTCGAGACCAAACTAGAAAAACCTCGATATGCACGAGTCTTCATGGCTCCCTCGGCTCTGCTTGAGCATGACTTTTTCAATACGTATATCAAGTCAGGTATTTATGTCTTCGCCAGACCAGTCCGAAAGCACTTCCATGTTTGAGTGGCCATCAGTTGCCCAAGCATCAGACAGCTTGTGCTCAGAGAGACCATTTATCGAAGATGGCAATCTGAATTGATCTAACTTGGGACGTAGGGAATATTTTGATGATATCCGAAGGACGTTCGGGATCCGATAATGTCTTCACACTCCAAGATGGTTCGTTCTCCTGAAGCTGTGACTGGAAGAGTCTTGTCGTTGCGGAACCGAGAGTTGACTCAAATGGAAACAGGAGTGCTTCGAATGGAACTAGGGAAGGAGATCTATGAGCGAACAGGTCTCACAGGCAAGCCTTTCCGCGGCGGCGGCAGAAAACATGCAAAAGAAAGATTCTGTGTGTACAACCAGAGCAGATGGGCTCGTTGAATATTTACTAATCATGTCGTCAGTGGTAGAATTGAACTTACGGCTGCCCTCGATGCTGCATGGCAAGAAAGGCTTCGAAAGAATCCTGTGGGCATTCACCAATGTTCTGACTCAATCAATGGCCTGGCTCTTCCACGACCTGGAAAGCAACCCTGGTCAGGATGAAGGTGATCATGGCCCCGAACCCGAAAAGGGAAATGGCAATAACTTACTAAAAGTTGGAGCAGGAATCAAGCCGATCAATAAGGTCCAACCACAGTTGATAACCTGCGAGCCACAGGAAATTGATCAAGAGCAAATAATCACTCCGCCGTTTTTTAACGAAAAGGGGAAAGTACTCGAGGAAATATCGGAAGGTGATCTGCAGGAACATTGTGGCTCCCTATCCGAATGGCTTGCCATGGTTCAGATGGCCTCTCCGCGGTTATCTGGGGAAGATGACGTCGATCCGTATTTGAGTCGTTATGCAGTTCCAGACGCAGATGGAAGCAAGGCCTCTGATTTGATGAACTTAAAATGGCATGGTTTGATATCGTCCCGTTGGATCATGCAGCTGTTCCTCAATCTGTTGTGAGTTCCGAATATCCTTATGGTAACCTGCCTGAGAGCTGACTTGCCCAATAGGCAAAGCAAGGCTAGCAATCTATCCTGGTTTGCACTTTCCGTTGCTACTTTGGGTAAAGAGGCCGTGGAGGGAAGGGACGGATTCACGGTTATGGTCCTTCCTAGTCCACAGCCCAGTGAATCCAAAGAAGCTGAAGAATCCAAGGTGGATAGCAAAGGAACCAGTGGATCTGATGGTCGGATGACTCTATGTTGGGAGTTGATGGGGGCATCGGTGACCGAACCCTGACCTAACCCTGTGCCCTTTGACGCGGAACCCCCATGGGGATTCTTCAGCCGGGGCTTCATACACGCAACCCAGCACACGTCGCGTAGCTTCCCACAATCCTCTTCATCCTTCTTCTTCTTCCTTCCTTCTTTCTTCCTCTCTCCTTCCTTCCTTCCCTTCAACATACTCACTGCATTTTCTTCCCCATACATCCACTACCCATTCGTCGCTACAAACACAATTAGCTATTTCATACTCTTTGCTCTTCAAGTCTTCCACTCGCTCAGTAATCGACACAAGTCACCTGTACCCTCGTTCGCATTCACATTTATCCCATCATTCGTTATGGAGCCTACCCAATTTTTCACCGACGCATTTGTCGAGGAGCTTTGTGATAAAGCTCCGCACAAGGCTAACACCGACGCACTTGCCGATGCGGCTTATGATGAAGATCCACAGCCGGCTCTCTTGGGCCTCGACAAATGGAAAGTACCTGAGTCAATTTTCCGCGCAGATGGTTCCTGCATGTCCATCTGGGAACTTGCTCGTGCTAATGGTAATTACATCTCCTCATTTGGGATTATCGGACTGAACTGACTTGTGTTCCTAGGATATCACTTTGAAGGAGACCCAGATGTGGCTCCCGGCTCTGCTTTTGACAACGCCTTTCTTGAACTCGGTGTCGACCCTGTTATTGGTCCAGCGACTGAGGATCACCTTGAGCTTGACCCTGAATCATCTGCTCCCATCGTTGTTGATTATGTGACCCCACGGAGCACTTGTGCCAACCAGCTGACAGTCTATCCGCTGGATACCCTCAACTCTCTCGAAAACGCCGACCTGGGTCCTCCCCTTTCTGTCGTTCAAGTTGCTCCCGCCACTGATGCTCCAATCACAAAACACCCTCCGGTCATTATTGATCAGGCCCCTAAAGTCGCTCCTGTCACTGCTGCTGCAGTCAGCCAAGTCGCTCCTTTCACCCCCAGTGCAGCAACTGGGACGGTCAAGGTTTTTGCTTTGCCACAAGGCAAATCGTCTGCTAAGCGGCCACCCAAGCAGAGAGCCAAGCGGGTCCCCAAGAACAAGCAAGATGACGAGCTACACAAAAAGCAGAAGAAGACAAAGGCCAAAAGCACCCCACTCAAGGCGAAAGGGAAGACAACTCTAGCCCCAGTCACACCACCACAGAAGATTGCGCCTGCCCCGATGACACCAAAGCCCGCCCCAACTCCTTTCCCTACTTCGATGACTCCAATACCAGCGGGCCAACAGCAGCAGCTTCAACTCGAACAGCGTCTTCGAAATCAAGAGCAGTATCTTCGTATTGAATGGAAGCAACTTCAGCAGCAGCAAGCTCATCTCAAACGTCAGCCGCCACCTGGAGACCCTCAGCAGCTCCAGATCTATGAACAGCAGCGTCAGCTCCACGAACAGCAATTTAAGCTGTGCCAACACAAGGTCATGCAACACAAAGAGCAAGTCCGTCAATACCGGCATCAGCAGCAGCAACAGTGTGCAATGCAACAATCCCATCAATTCCAAGCTGCAGCGGCCCAGCAAGTTCAGCAGCCCACCCACCAAATGCAAGCAGTTTATCCCACCCCTCCCAAGGAGCGCATGCAGTCTGTGATGCAACAGTCCCAGCGACTCCAAGCTTCGGCGGCTCAGCGAGTTCAGCAGCCCATCCACCAAAAGCAAGCAGTTTATCCCACGCCTCCCAAGGAGCGCATGCAATCTGTGATGCACGAAACTCAGGAAGTTTATCCCAGCCCTCCCAAGGAGCGAATGCAGACTACGATGCAACAAACTCAGCGACTCCAAGCTTCAGGGGCTCAGCAAGCTCATCCACCCACCCAGCAAATGCAGGGAATCTATTCCACACCTACCAAGGAGCGTAAGCAGTCTGTTTCTTCCCTTTCTGCCGCTTCGACCAGCAAGAGAACTTTCGAGTTTATGGAGAGCATTGTGCCTAGCAACTTTGTGGCCAACCCAAACAATCATGCGCGATGGACTGTTAGCCCTAACGGCGACCGAACCTACTTGAACGGACCCCAGACGAAGAAGGCACGAGTTTCTACAAAGTAGAATCGAGCAGAGATGGTACGTTACCATCGTTGCCAACAAGCCCCGGTGGCTAGTCGATCATGACACGACTCGCCACACTATTATCCCTCATTTGTATCAGTCAGTTAGCCTTTAGGAATATCATATTCCTTCTACCGCTCAAAATCGCCCACCTAGCGTAACAGATTGGTAGCATGTCTGGTACCGATCCGAAGGGTTTCCTTCTGGGTTTTCTTTTCTTTTTCCAGTATTCTTTTTCTCAACGGAGACCCGCCTGGGGACCCAGGGCAGAGTCTCGACTTGAAAGGGCAAGCATTATTTTGCAAGAACCTGGGATGCTCCTTCCAATGGATGTAAAGAAGGCATCTGAAAAGACACCAAAAAGGAGGCCAAAATGGACACCAAAAGAAACACCGAAAAGACAGTGATCGTACTCTTTAAAATGGGCAGGTAAGAAGATGAAGCTACTAAGCCTAATTGGGAATTACGATCATCTAGCTTCCCAAGGTTCTTCGAAGCTTAGCCTCTTCCCTCTATGAGCCTCATTTCCGGTTCAAACCACTGTCTTTCCCACCCTACCGAGCCCTCCCAGTCAAGATCTCATGCCGTCCTAGGCACGTGCGAAGACCGGTAGGCTGCTAGCTGGTGGGCTAGCTGGATTGCTCTTGACGGTAGGGATAAGTATCTATCAGCCGATGGGGCTAACGTGTCGATGGTCCTATGGAGCTTGCAGCGCTGCAGTCACCCAAGCCGCTACTTTAATCACCCAACGCACTCCGACAGTCATTGATCCAGCTGTTCAAGTCACCACCGCCACTGGTGCCTCGGCTACTCAAGTCACCCATCCAACAATGTGCTGTGGCACACTACACCAAGGTCAAGATCTTCCTCGACCGTATGCGCGACCTGGTCGCACTTAAGACGGAACAAACCGTTCGTGGGAACATACACGCCTGCCGAAAGGGCAGCGCCTGTGTTTGTCCGGCACAGCTGTGGTTTTTCCTTCGAAGGATCATAATGAGATAACGGAGGACGTTGAGAAGGAGGTCTTTCCTTGTATTTTCTAATTTCGAAGGGACAGTGCTCACAATGCAAGAAACCAAATCCAAAACCACATTTGACAGTCAATAACCAACAGGCTGCAGTGTCAAGTAAAACCAGAAGGTTCAGGATGTTCGATGTATTCGCCAAGCCCAAAGCATAACATATGTAAGCTTATCAGCGCGCCAAGTCGTGTGAGATAAAACAGAACGCCTCGATTTGCATTTAAACGTTGAATAACAGAAACAAGGACCTTGATTAAAACATGGTATGTTAGCCCGTCAGGTCATTCACTATGTCTCGCAGGATGGGCCGGTTCCCAACCACCTTCGTGCCGTTGAACAACTTTGCACCTGTCTTTGAAGGCTTTCGAAGGCCGGGCGCCGCTTGTCGGGAGCCCAGTGGGCTCAATGGTTCACGGGAAGGATGAGAATAAGGTGATTTGTTCTTCACCTTACCTTTGCCCTTGGCAGAGCCAGGAGTCGAGGCCGCACCCGGAGACATGAGCTGTGACTGCGTGGTACAAGAAGGGAAGAAATGCTTGTCTATCGCTCCGCTGGGCAAGTTATAGACCCAGTCTTTGCTTTCCATCAGACGCACGTACTTGCAGAGGAGCTCGTTACCATCACGGAGAGTGGATCTGCTGCCGACAACCAGGAGCTTGGTCTGGGCGCGAGTGAAGGCGACGTTGACACGACGCCAGTCACGAAGAAGCTCGCCAACGTTGTTTTCGGCGTTACTGCGGACACAGCTCAGGATAATGACCTCCTTGTCGCGGCCTTGAAACTTGTCCGTAGTGTGCATTTCCAGATCCGGAGTGTAGCGTCGCAGGCTCTGGCGAAGGAGGGAGAGTTGGCTGCGGTAGAAAGTGATCACACCAATGTTGCGCGCGGGAATACCACAGGCAATGAATGACTCCACAAGTTGCGAGCAGAGAAAGACCTCCATATGATTGACGACTCGATTTCCTTGTGCTATCTCGAGGGCTGCAGGGCCGATGGGATCGGTGTTGACCAGTCGCGTTTTTGCGGATGGCCTCAGTAAGTCTTGGAGCCAGCAGGGGCTACTGGGTGTACCCGGGCAGATTTCTCGTTGGGATTGTGACTGAGCATGGCTCAAGTCCTCGGCATGGAATTTCTCGAGGGCGTTGATGTTGGGTATATCCAAAGATCGGGCTGCTACCTGGGGCGTGCCGCATTTGAGACGGCCCGAGTATATCAGAGTGTTGGAAAGTAACATGAGTTCCTCACACATGCGGTACTGGTGCTCTAGGTTGACAACCGAATCTGGTTGTGCATCCGAGAGTAGTTTGAAGAGACTGACATCAAGTCCTCCTTCCTGGGCCGCTTTATTCTGCACAAGCGGCGGCAATTGATAGTGGTCACCGACCAGGATGAAAGTCCTTGCCATACGAATCGGGCCGAGGCAGACTGGGAGCGTGATCTGTGATGCCTCATCCACAATACAATAGTCAAAGATGCGTTGATTGAAAATATTATGGTTGACTCCGAGGCATGTAGTAGCAACGACCTGCGGCTTTTCGTATGAATCCTTGAGTTCTTCAATGGTTGATTTCGGGATTGCGGCAAGATCAGCGAATCCCTGAACATCTGGATGAATTTTGGCGGTAGCACCTATACGCAGCACACGAATATTGTCGTCTCGAATCTTCAGCAGAATGTTGTCAACTGCAGTGTGGGTGTAAGATGTAAGAAGAACACTCTTGCCTTGTGCGACAAGGGCCCTAATTATATGGGCAATGGTTGTGGTCTTTCCAGTCCCTGGCATTCCAAGGACAAGAGCATAGTCTTTGGCGCTCATCACCTTGTCAATGGCTTGTCTTTGATCAACGTTAAGATTGCCAGGATCGGAGATCACGTATGAAGAAGAAGTTGTCTTGAAGGCGGGCGCCTGCCCCTCAACAATGATCCGTCGAAGCTGTCTCGCTTGGAACAAGTCTTTATCCATCATACAGATGAGGTTGTTTCGAACAATGGCCATGCCATTGCTAAACTCATCTTTGTCGATCCGGTAAACCAGCTGTTCACCTGGGTCGTCCAGAGCAGCAGGCTCTTCGTTCCCAACCTCCATGATTCCCCTGAAAGACTGATTCGTGACTGCATCAAACCCAGCCGTTCTTGATCGTGCATTATGAAGTTTCCGGTCCACGCCAACCTTGATGTGTGACGAACTGGTGTGCACCACGTATCCGTTGGCGAGAGCAAAATGTCCCTTTTCATCTGAAATGACAATTGGTTCACCGACAGATATTTGAGACTCAGCGAAGGAGAACCCAGGAGGGGCTTGTCTTTTGACGAACGTATAATGGTAGCGATTTATCTTTGTCCCAGTGTTCTCCACATACACAGCATTCGGATCAATAACGACGTCCCCGAAGCATCGGCCCAGGGCTTCTCGCTCGCTGCTCAGCAATGTCCAAAGTTCTCGCCGGAACTTCACGAGATTACCTTCTTCTTTGGTCAAGAGTTCATCCCATTTACGAAAGAAGTCCCGATCACCGTTGTTTAGATGACCGACAGCTGCATCGAAATCCTCGCCGAGTGTGCTGGTCTCGCCATCGCCATCCTCGGAGAGCCTATGATAGATGAAGCAAGGAGTCTTGGCATAGCATCGAATACATTGACGAGCTTTCCTCAACATCGGTGGAAGCTGCTGCCTTTCGCGAATATAGCCAGCGAGGCGATTGCGCACCTGGATCATCTGGAGCAGTTCATGTCGGATCCCACGGATACTGAGTGTTTTTGTCAACTCGAGGTAGTATAGAAGCCCGAATGTAACGTCGATATCTGCAACAGTTTTAGCGACTGGTCAACAGCCGAAAGAGCATCGGGGACTTGAGAGAACTTCTCATCACTTACCATAGCGATCCGACAGGAGTAGAGTGTAGAGAGCGGTTTGAGCCCTATGTGACTGGTTTGTATCCCTTCGTCCAGTCTTGAGCTCCAGCGGAACCACCAGGTTCTTCTCCGTTTTATCTTCACGACAAGTGACTTGAACAGTCGCATCGATGTTGCCTTTCAGGCCATACATTGGGGACCAGATGTGCTCCTCTACCTCGAGCAGTTTGTTGATACTCAAGTTCAGCTTAGAGCTATTGCGGTCTTCAACCATAGACTTGGCCTATTGGTCTTAATTAGCAAGTTTTCTTGGCAGAAAGAGGCCTCTATCGGCCGTCAGACATACCTGTGGCTTGAGATGCAGGAAAGCATCTGCCCAGTCGAGAACAGCAGGCATCCTGCTCATGAGATATTCAACAGCTTCAGGGACGCTCATTTGAATCGAGTACAGCTCTTCAATGTGTCTGCCCATGATGGTTTCGACCAATTTCTTCAATGACTCCATATCCCATTGGTTCGCTTTGAGCGCTTCTTGGAAAACTTCGTGAAAAAACACTCCGAAAGCTTGCGGTCGCTCGAGTGCGGCAATGACTTTGACTCGATCTTGAAGGACAGCTCGTCGTTGGCAGTCTATCGAGTCTGCTACGACCGTAGCGGAAATGAGATGGTCGGGATGAAGAATGATCATGTGGTTCAAATTATCCACAACGCATTGGCCGGCTGCATTGAAGTCCCCGACCAGGTGGATATACGAGTCCTTGCTGCAGGGAGTGTCAAACCATGACTCTCGCAATATGATAGTCTTGCGCTCTCGGGTTTTCTCGTCTTCAACTAGCAAACACTGTACTTGAAGTCAGCGGACGGGACTAGATCCGGGTCAAGGGCAATGTATCTGACCTGATCTGGCTGGGTACGTCCTTTCGGAGTAACATATGTGCTCTTCGTGATGTCAACGATCTGGTAACGTTTGATTGCTTGTCGACCTTTTAGGTTCTATTTGTTTTGACTGTCTTAGCATATATCTAGAAATTAAGCGACTAAGAGTGACTAACATAAGTGGGCCCTCCTCCACCTGCTTGCTTCATAGTTTGCTCAATGGCCTCCATATCAAAATCATCGTCAAACTCATCATCCGATGATGCCACCTCAGGTTTGACAGATGCAGCGGTTGGTGTTTTGCTATGCACACTGCCATTCACCGGGGCATGCATTGCATCTGACCTTTGCAACGATGGTCCAGCGGTTGTTGGCTTTGATGAATTGACCGGAACAGGCTTTGTGTCACATTTTGCAAGTATTTCCTGCAAGTTGTCAGGCAGATCGTCATATTCATCCTCATCAAAGTCATCAAATTCGTCGCTTTTTGTTTCGTTAGTCGTAGAATTATGGGGAATGGGTATGGAAGGTTTGCTGTCGACCATTGAATTCTTTTTGGGTTGCCATGAACGAGACTTTTCTGCGTTAAGGGCAGCCCAACCAGAAGATCCCGGAGGAGCAAACTCGTTAGATGCATGTGCCAGCTCAATGAAAGGATCCTCCGACGCATCGGCCAGGTCCATCAGACCTTGGTCAAGATCATCGTCTCCGAACTCGGAGGATGACTCTTGAAGGGCAGGCAATTTCCCAGATCTTACTTTGTCAAGTGGTGCAGCACATGGGGATTTGGCGGTTCCTTCGTCAGCCTCGCGAAGCCTATGGTCCTTCGTGGGTGAAGACGATCGACACCTTCGCGCATCCATATGTTGGCGCAGAGGCGACGATCCAGGTGGAGCGACATCGGCAGGGGCCATGTGTATACTTCTCTCAATCTTCTCCATAAGATAGTTGATCCTTGAGGACTTTGGCTTCCCAGATTCGACATTGCTGTTGGTTCGTTGAAACATGCCGCGATTGGGACCAGCATCTAGTCTATTGACTCGTCGTCGTTTTGTTCGAGATGTGGGGAAATCGGTAGTGCAGCTAATCGCGCGTCTCAGCCCTGACGAGTCTCGACTTGTTCTGCCCGAACCTGGTGTCTGGGGCGAGGAGGAAAGAAGATTTGCGAACCGTGGCGGTGGAAGGTCATCCGGGCCATCGACCATGTTTTTATCCATGTAGTTATTCCACAATTCAGCGGCCATATCATGTTGCGGTGTCTTGAAGAGGGCTTGTATTGAATGAAGGTCGAGAGGTTCTTTTTGCACTTTTTTCTTATTTCCGTTCGAGGGAGAGCCAGCAGGCGAAGAACTGTGCCGGCGCTTCCTGCGACGACTCCCTGGCGTCTGGGACGAGGTGTCTGGGTTCGAACTGGCAGGCACATGCTGCCAGATGACATGCTCGACTGGCGTCACCTCCGGGCCTGGGGCGGGATCAAACGAATCCTCAGCGTTGCTGATCAAATCCGCCAGAGGTATCCTGTTTCCTGGAGTCTGAGGGCATTCTTTAATCGGCTTTGATTCTTGTACTTGGGGTTCAGGTGCTTGAGCGTCGCGAGGCGGAGGACATCCTTTGTCAGAAGACGCCTGCATCAGCTCTGTCGCACCGTCAGAGCCCGAGTTTCCATGTTCTTTGCTCCCATTAACCAATTTGGTCTCGTCTTTCGAGGTAGCGCCGTCGGGAACTACTTCGCCTTCTTGGAAGCGAAACGCGTTCAATTTTGTTCGTGAGTTTGAGCATATGGGGTATGCATTGTTTGTTGCCATTGCTTCGATTCGGAAATATCCAATGACGCGTTCAAAATTGGTAAGGATACAT